TAAAAAAAACTTTTTCGTATGCATTGAGATATGAGTGAAATATATGGAAAATACGGAGAGGCTCATTTATTCTTTGACACCCGTTATATATTTGGTGACACAAAACAGTACATTATAAATTTGTTTAGCGCTCTCCAAAATCATCACCAATGTCTACAGCGAATTCTTCATCATTCGCCAGGTTAGAACACAGGTATTGTATTATTTCAAAGGTATGCTGTGGATTAAATTAAAAGAATACCTATATATTTCCCCATACCTTCACCTACCTTCAAAATATCGATGGGTCTAATCTGATATATTATCTACTACTTCATTTCATAATCAACAGTGTTAAAAACCTAATAATTATTCTTCTTTGCTATTTGTAGCAGAGTTTCTAAACCTCGTGATTTGATCAGGAGTCTCCTGATTTTTGTGCTTTTCTACTGATCGAAAATCCCCTGATTCACCTGATTTTATTTTTCTTAATTTACAAAATCAGCAGCAGCTCAAGCCAACAGAAATTCAAAGAGAAGAAAAAGAGAAAATAAGAAACTTATCAATGATCCCCGGTTACAATGACAACTAAAAAAATTTGCTTTTCTTTTCCTTCTCGCACGAAAAGTCTTTGAATCGAAACAAAGAATCGTACACATTCATATCTGAGTAAAGGTAATAAAATGATGCACAAGCAACATTTGTCATTGTAACTCACTTAACCCTCGACTGTGTAGGACAAGAGTAATTTTTTGCCATGTCAATAATACGATAAACTCGTCTAGCATCTCCATAGCATGAACCACATTGTAAAAAAAGGCGTAGAGTTATAAACCCTCGAAAAGAATTGATGTCCGGGATATGAACCTTTTTCGGGTTTATGATCGTCATATACCCTCTCAAAAACCCTTATTTTTCATAAATCATAGAGGGGTTTGCTATACGTTGCATTTTGATAAACCTTTCAGGGGTAGATGAATGCTTATCTACCCTTAAAATGTTTGCTCATATATTTATTAGAAGAACCGTAAAAGACAAAAGCGATTTTCGAGGGTCTATGAAGTTAATAAAACCTTTAAGGGTATATGACAGTGCAACGTATAGCATACCCTCTATATAAATTATAGGGTATATGAACCCTTAAAAGGGGCTGATTATTCTGCCCTCTTTTTACAGTGCAATTCAGATCTCCTGATCGTGTTTAAACCATTACTTTCGAAACAATACGCGACTTCAGGACAAAAAATCTTCCAAAATACGCGACATAAGGACACATGAGCAGCCCCGAAATGTGTTGCGATGTGTGTCTGACTTTTGATCTCGTGCAAACTAACAGATTAATTGACAGACGGCCAGATAAAGTATTTTCCCCTATGATCCTTCTTACAGTCGAGGGGATTACAATAAGTGTTATGAAATTAACATCCCTTTTCGTTTTAACCGGTTGGCTACGGGAGTATCATATATGATACTTGACTGTTGGCGGTGACATTTATACAAGTAATCAGAAATTCTATCGTTCCTCACGTTCTCTTCACTATTGTTGGCATCTTCTATGTGGTTTAGTAACACTATAATCATGCAACGACACCTTCACGCGACTGTTCTTCGTCCAGTTTTCGGACAAATTTTGAAACTTTCTACGTTTTTCCTCTTTTATATCTCGCGTACCGTTTTCTTACGTGATCTCGTAGAATGTTCCACTTTCGGTGTTATGTATAGCACATTCGGCGATGTCACCATCTGTACATCATGTTTTTTTTTCTTTCATTTAGTGAGCACCCTAAAGATTTGAAACGTTTTGCGCAAAATTTTGTCTGAAAAATTAACCTCGTAGCCAACCGGTTAATTCCCTCTACTGAAAGGAGGGTATACACAGAATTTCAGATAAAGTTCGTCCGTTCACGTACTTTACACTAATAGAACAACAATCTATACTGCTTACGAAGAAAGTTTGATCGAAGGGTAACCGGGGTCGAGGAACTCGAATCTAAGGTCAGTTTCTTTCCCATCTATCGAGCTTCTCTCTTCTTTTCTCAGCAGATATTTTTCTGGAGTGATGTCATAATCCCGTTAATCCCAGCATTCATCCAAAAGCAGACAATTCACTGCGTCACCATATGCAGCTCAGTCAGTGAATCCAACACGATACCCACATAGAAGCGCATCCTGAAAAGCTGAGGAATATGAGTGAATTTGGTGTATCCAGCCACCGCCCTCACCCACACCCACACCCACACCCTCACACTCACCCTCACCTTATTTGAGTATCGGGCTGGATACACCAAATCCACTCAGATTCCTCAAACTTCATGATGGTCGTATTCTTTCTGTAGTATAAAAGTGGTTACCCGCGGATAGAACGGGCTGGTATCGATACCGGTGTTCGTTCGTTGATCAGTATCAGGGTATAGTGATGTTTGGCTGTCGATACCCGGTGTAATGGTATTATGACATCTATGTTTTTCTGTGTCTCTTCTAAAATCTTTTGTGGAGAGTAATGAGCTGAACGCTATTGCGATATGCGATGGGAGAGAAAACAATAGTTTAGAAGTTTACACAAAAAGATTTAGTACATGTTGTATTATGATACTTATAACTCAAGAAATCGGAGAAAGTGGTATGTGCGTAGTATCACTTCCGCGTCGGTAGCAACGACTGCGACACGTCAGGTGTTTCGGTGAGATCTTAGCGGAAGTACGTCACCAAAAGATATACCCGTCAGTCGAGTTCCATCTTAATAAGTATATAAGGAAATCGACTATGCAAAAAGCAGTCTAAACACATGAAGCACTATGATGAGTGCTCGTTTCACGGCAAATCGTAAAATAAAACTTTTCATCTATTTTGTTTGGCAATCAAATGAATAGAAGATCACTAACTCCGAAGCGCCAACAAAGCGAAACGTAGCTATTCCCTTTGAAAGCCAACCAAAAGTGAATGGCACAGCGGAGGTAGACATTGGAACGACTGGCCGTTCCTCTTGAGAGATATTTGAAAGTTGAGTTTTATAAGACCCTAGGCAGTGTCGATCATTTTTTGAAAGAACATAATCCCTGTCTTTTCGCGGTTTGAAAATAAGCAATGTGAATTACCTGCTCCCTTAATTTAAGAAAACAGTGAAATATCTACGATGGATCACACCGTTATGAAAACTTTTCATAACTTCGATTGCAGACCAAATCAGTATGAATCAGACACTTTTTCTAGGAAATATGAGAAAAATTTAGTATGTACTGACGGTTAGTCGTGAGTGGCCGACCGGAGAGAGCCCGACGAACGACTAGACGTTGGTCTGAGAAGCTTTTGGGGTATCAAATGAATATGAGTGAGAGTCTGAAGTAAATCATCGAATAACTGCACTATCGAAGTAAAATAGATTTTATTTATTCAGTTGGACAAAAAGTTCTGCAACAATTTCACCGCCATCCTCATATTAATGTGTTGCAAAATTTTTTCCCAATTTAGCATTTCTTCTAAAAAATAGATGCCATTGGACGATATCCTTTCAGTAGAGAGTCAGCGGTTACTAAGCCGCGCTACTTGTTTATTTATAGCAAAATTTTTCACTAATACTTCGATATGAACAGCGAGAAGCTATTAGAATCCATACGATGAGCCAAAAAGTTGATTTATATATAGTGAAAGCCATAAAATCACTGTTTTACGATCGGAAAGAACCTCCTGATTTTTTTGAAAACCACTTATGTTCAAACTTTTGATTTGACAACCCGAATTCATATAATCATTGATTTTACCGAGAAATTAATCAAATAGTTTTGTCTGTTTTAGGTCTTCTATACCAAATGATGAGCCAGAAGGAAAAGGTACGATAAGAATAATGTTTCTAATATGGTTATTATCGTTAACTAATGAAGGAATAGCTAAAGCATTGGCTTCAACTTACCTTAAAGCTCCTTAGCTGATCATGAATAGAGCATTAAATAACTAGCAAAAGCTTCAGAGAATGCGCGTTCATCGCGAGTTCTCAAATCAAAATTTACGATCCTGTCATATTTCATACAGAGCATGTATTGATACGAAGAGCTACTTTACAACCCCCTTGGTACTTTTATTAGTCATATCAAGCTCTATTCATGATCAAAATCTCGGTTTTAAGTTAAGCGGATACTCCAAGTACTGTTAAAGCACTGTTAAAGCAATTAATCAGACGACATATGCAAAACAGACGCTTTGTTAACCGATCATAGAAGGCGATAGAAAAAGTTCTGCCATGATTGAAATTGAATGCGGTCCATGACCTAATTAGCATGAGACACTTGTTTTCAGACAGTTACTATTGGGTTGGTAAGAAATGTTTTGCGTTTTTTTCGAAAATTTTATTTTCATTTTTTAACTTCAAGAATACAACTAACTTTCAACAATGTATGCTCCATTACTATCTATGACTTGTTGCCAACGCTCTGGTAGAGAAAGGATCCCGCGTTCGTAGAAGTCCTGGGACTTTTGGTCAAAGAAGTTGAGGAGGTCTATTTTGAGGTCGTTCTCGTCGTCGAATTTTTTCTCGCGTAAATGATTAGACAGAGAACGAAATAAATGGTAGTCTGTAGGAGCCAAGTCCGGAGAATAAGGTGGATGTGGAATAGTGACCCATCCGAGCTCCAATAATTTTTGACGCGTCGACTTTGCAACATGAGATCTCGCGTTGTCATGCAAGAAGTAAATTCGATCTTGCTTTCCCTTGAGTTTTTGTGCAAGCCGATCTAATTGTTGACAGTACAAATCAGCAGTGATGGTGTAACCATTTGGAAGAAGTTCCAAATGAATAATTCCTTTAACTCCCCACCATACGCTGAGCATCACCTTCTTAGAGTGCGGATCAGCCTTAGACGTTGCTGCACCTGTTTGACCAGCGCTCAGCCACTGTCGTTTGTGCGTGTAGTTAATGTACAACACCCACTTCTCATCACCAGTAATGAGATTGCCGAGTCATTGGTAGTTGCGATGGGATGTCATTAATTCCATGCAAGAGTCAACTCTGTGTTGCAGCTGATGCGGTGACAACTCATGTGGTATCCAAACTCCGTATTTCCACGTTTTGCCTAATTCATGCAGATGCGTTTCCACTGTAATATGGGAGTACCTAAGTTGCTCTGCTAAACATCGCGTAGTCAATCGAGGATCTTCTTCGATAAGCTGCTTTAAAACATCCATATCCACCTGTAGCGGTCTTCCGGTGTGAGGTAAATCGTCGAGTTCAAAGTTACCGTTCTTGAACCGATGAAACCAATGCTGCGCCGTACGGATGCAGAGTACATCCTTGCCCATCGTGCTGCATATGTTGCTTGTTGCTTCCGTTGCTTTGCGCCCCTAACGGAATTCATGAAGCAGAAGCAGTCGGAGCTCTCTACGAGATATATTCATTTCTAATTCGTGATCAACATCCATGTCCATAATTTTGTTGTTGCCCGAAAGATATTTGTACCCCCTACATATATCCTTAGTATGGAAACTTCTAGAACTTTCCCGACTGTTCTAGGAAATTTTCGAAAAAAACGCAAAAAATTTCTTACCAACCCAATACAATGCTGACAAATGTGTAGAACATCTTAAGCAAACAAGAAAATATTTTTCTAATTTATGTTATGCGTCTTACTGACGAGTCTATTTCTTTCAATCGATGTCCAGAATGGATGAAGCAATATGGAAAAGTAAGTTTTATTGCTAAGTACACAATCTCTGATTTTTTCATAATTGATAATAATCAATGTTAATTCAAAAACTTCTCAGAACGAAAACTTTATAAGTTTTAAAACGATTGGAATTGGACAGAAAGATACACTTGAACATTTTTATATGTTATCATAGCGTATTTCATCATGTATGCACTGGAATCTAGAGGAATCTCGTAAGAGGTTAGTTAATATTTGACCTACAGACAACCGTTGC